GAAGAAAGACTGATTCTGCATTATATTCGATAAGGTTACGTCCCTGACGTGAAGTAAACGAAGGAAATGAAGAAAAGAGGAAAGGAACTTGAGGACGGAGCGAACGAGGGCCGCCTCGAGGCCAAAGCTTCAAGAGCGGACGGTCAAGATGACTGGACGAGATGGAGACTTCAAAGACGACCAGAAATTCATAACTGCGGTTTCTGTGACGGGTGGTCAGTTATTGCCAAATAGGCAGCAGCGTCTCTTGTTATTCAAGAGGCAGATGTCCATTAGTGAGAGGGTTGAACAGCGCACAACCTGCGTGGAAAACGAGCTCAAGTACAAGACCGAAGCTTCCGCGTTGGGACAGAAACCAATCGGTAATATAACATCCGAGTTTTTCATAGTCAAACCCTGAAGATGGTGGCAATAAATTCATCCGAAACACTAGTAACAATACCTAACGGAGGATTATTTGCTGAGTTTCCTTTTGACATACCAAACTGAGGGCGTAAGTGGGAGGATAATATTAAAATTGATATTTAAATGTAGGGGATAGTGTAAACTGGATTAATCTGGCTCACGGGAGAGAAAAGCGATAAGTTTATATAAAAACGGTCATAAATAATCAGTTTCTATAAAATCTCAACATATTTCTTGAACCGATGAGCAACTATCAGCTTCTTAAGAAGGACTCTACTGCCTTTGAGTTAGTTACTGGTACTTAGTTACTTACCAAATACTAACGTCAACACAAAAGTTACAGACTCTACTGCCTTTGAGTTAGTTACTGCTGTTGCAGAAAACATTTACTTACCAAATACTGACGTCGACACAAAAGTTACCCAAGACTAAATTTTGTGATAAGACAACGGGTCCTTAAACAAATTTCGAATGATTTAATAGGAGTAATGAAGTCTTCTGGGGTTATAAACCGCTTAAGGAACGAGTTACAAACACCCCAAGGTAGACTGTCGCCGTCAGGACTCGAATCCCCTGAATAACCAAATTCTATCAAACTTGACAGTAACTACTGACCAACCAAGGTACATCCTCTGGGTGGAATTCAGATGGGGAGAGGAAAAATCCCCTGTAAATTTCTACCAGCGAAGCCTCATAACCACCCAACCTAACCAAATTGCGTATTCAAATACAGACTTACCAACGCAAAAACTAACCAAAAAGCTTGTCGAACCGTTAGTTCATAATCTGACTCTCAGAACCAATACGAAATTACGTTCTAAATCAGCCCCTACGAAAGGGTAATGTAGCGACCTACATTTTCCACGATGCAGAGCATTCTACTGGCGGACCACAGGAGCGATGTGTCACTTCTGCACGAATCTCATCGGTAAGTGGGTCACGTAAACAAGAAGGTGAAGCTGGCAGGGCAGTGCGCTTAGCTTCCTGCATCCGGGCAGGACAGCTGAAGCAGAATGACCAACTCTTCATCCCCAAAACAGAGGGTGGTGGTCGGCAACTTGCGGCCCGCGGGGTAGCAGGTCTCAGACCGTCGTGGAACTTTGAGGTGTTGGTCCCTATTTTGAACCAGTTTAATCACGGCTCAAGGCCGGAATTGCACGATTAACCACCGAGAGCTAGACGGGTTTCCCGATCAATAAAATACTATACAATTTTTTGTTCTTGTGTTATGGAAGTTCGTGACAGAAGCATAGAAATTATACCGAGGTTAAAGCTTATCTGCGTACTAATATATTCACGTACAACACAACACTTGCGGGTCAGTCATTTAGTACAGTTATTGATTATGTTATGAATTTTGTGACATTTCTCTTGTGAGTCGTCAGAGCGAAACCACAAAGAGAAAATTCCTTGACCATTTCTTGTGCTACAAAGACGAACACCAAAGCGCGCAGGGCCACTTGAAAAGATGACGGATTACAATCAACTGTCAACCCATTTCTACAAATGGCACAGAGCGGGGAATAACTCGTGACTGGTTGCAGTCTTTGTTCGCAAGAGACGCAGCCCCACAATGCTGAATTTTCTCTAACGCCTAATCGCAACAGAACATCACATTTTTGGAGACTACTCGCCATTTTTACTTCTGAAAGAAATAATAAGGATTTTTTTTGTCCTCCGAGAAATAACAACGCATTTGTAACTTATGGGACGAAAATGAACTAACCCAATGGACCACGGTCCAGATGAATCCAATCCACCAATTCCAGAACCTATTTCTCTATGATCAATTTTAATATTATTCTGACATCTACTCCTAGGTCTTACGAGTGGCTTCTTCTCTTTGGGGTCTACAACTAAAACTCTGTGCGTCTTATCTCGGCATACGTGCTATATGTCCAGCCCATATAATCTTCCTTCATCTGATAATGGCGTAGACAAAAATAATTAAGCTCCTCTTCACACAATTTTCTCCATTCTCCTGTCACTTAAGCTGTCTTAAGTATAAATATTATACTCAGCACGTCCTCAAATGCCTTCAATTTATGTACGTTTTTCCTTAATGAGAGAGACCAAGTTTCATACCCATACAAGACAAGTGGAATCTTGTATGTTACATTTTAATAAATACCTTTTAGACGGCAGATATAAGACAGAAATATTCGAAGTAAACATCCCCCGAACTGATTCTTTTCCTAATTTCCTCATGAATATGATCATGAAATGTGAGTTGGAAATTACGTGAAAAAGATTTTGGACGATTTTAATATTATATTTCAGCATTTGCCTGAACGGAACGATACAAACTAAGATTAGAAACTTCGGTAACAAATTCGACGCCATAAAAATCATGTAGTTGATATGGTATGACTTAGCGTAACAAAGAAATTACATATTTAGGTTATGTACGGACAACGACCCAAATCAGTCAATATTGTTGCCTGTTTGTTGAAAGATAACATCATCATAACAACAACGACATTTCACATTTCACAACTTGTATAAATGTGTAACTTTCATTTGTCAGACCCAAAATGATTTAGAACCAAGATAAGACAACAACGTATCGAAATAAATTACGTAACAACAGAATATTTCAGCCTTGATACAAAAACTGCTTGAACATTATTTATTTTGCTGTCTCAAACAAAGAATTGCATTCACGAAAATGTTAAAAACGGATTAAGTACAACAGAATTTCAATTTCAGAATATTTTACATCCTTGTTACCCAAGCCTAATATTAATATACACAAAATTATAATTCGTCATTAGCAAAAAGAACACAAGACAGAGCTTTTTGGAAACCAAATCTCTGAAGAGGTGAATATACGCGGATTAGCGCAAAAGATTAGGACCCACTGACCATCGCTCGATTACAAAGATGTATCAATATGGAAGGAGACCATTTTGTTTTGAGTTATTAAAATTTCTTTAGTGATAATCTAATAAATATTTCTACCCAACACTTTTCATACGGTACAACGAAACGGGATTTGTTTATTTATTCAACTTTATTCGAAATGTGCGTGACGTAACTTTACACACAAATCACAGTTTATTAATATGAAGTTCAACGGAAATAGATCTCATCAATGTTCTTGTTGCCTTGGGGACTTACACGAAATTGTATTCACGTGCTTATGAACCATGAACATTTAATGACGAAATAAAATTATTATCTTATTGAAAAAGTACTGGTGATATCATTTGGTGTCCAGGAATTCTGCTGAGCAGTGAAAGCTGTAAAATTGTCCGAAGACATTATTTGGTACGTAACTACTTTCAGCAGTAACTATGTTAATGTATCTAATTCTGCAGTCCTTTTTCAGAAGCTAATATTCGCTCAAATTGTCAACAAATTCCTTGTGTTTTATGGAACACGAAAATACATTATTGTGTTGAAGCCTAAGGAATATGGGCCACACTATCATATATCATTTATTTAAAAATTATTTTAATATTATCACCAGTTATGTCCCTTCAGACAAGTGCTAAGACAACATCTTAAATTAGGCCACAAACAATTCCATCAACATCATTTCAAATTCGTTATTAATTATCATCCTTTCAATCAATGTTATATA